CAGAAGGTAAGTGCTTGCCTTAAAATAAATGTGCTGCAGTTCTAGTATTACTAAGGATGTATGATTAAGGTCCTAAATGCCAGAATATGACAATGCATTTTCAGGTATAGTTCTTTGCCCTACAGTAAATTCCATGCCTGTGTAGGGTTTTCCATATGAAAAACTTTCCATATGAGTGAACTTTGTATATATTTCTGAAACCGCTTGTGTCTCATAGGGCCTGGGTTGCGATGTAAAGAAAAGATGTCTGTAAAAAGCATCTAACAGGATGTAGAATTGTGATAGCTGTACGTCATGCATATACAAACATTTCAAACAGATTTGGAGGGTAGGAGGCCTCCATCTGCAACTGGAAAAGGCACCTCATTTTTTTAGCTACAGAAAGCATAATACATATCCCAGCTGAACTGCTTTTAACATTCTGTATAAAGCCTGAAGAATTCTTAGAGTAAATAGATTTTGGTACATACTGTTCGTAGCAAATCTGTCTGCACGTATTTGTGTTACATAAAATAGGGGAATAAGGGGCAGCACCTTTCCTCCCCCAGATTTAATGGAATTGTAAAGATGAAAGCAGTATCCTCTGGCTTGAGGCCAAATTTCCAATCTCATGACTACTTAATGCACTTGATGAGCTTCAGATCCTTCAGTTATATTACATCTCCAAGAGGACAACATGTCTTCTTCCACAGATAATACTGTAAAGACACACTATTCTCTGCCAGATTCTTCTGATCTATTTCTGTCCTCATAACTTTGGGGGGTTAAGGAACTCGCAGTGACTTATTGGTTCTGTTGCTTATCATGACTGAAAAAGCCATTAATTCATAGAGAATAGCAAGTATTCTGTAAATACTCAATGGATTCTGAAATTCAACATATAACTGACCTTCTCAGTCACTATCTTAATGCCACTTCTTGTTCCCTTTTCTTTCTTCCAATGTGGCACTTGTTAGTTTTACTTATTATTAAATCAGAATTCTTCCCCTCTCTGCCCCTTTCCTATTTTGTTTTGAACTTTTCCTAATTGAGACCCAGTATTTAATTGAAAGTTATAAAGACCAGACAATAATTTTCAAGCAGATATTTTAGGGTTTTTTTGTTTTCTCTCACTTTCTTTCTAAATTTCTGGTGCAATGTTCAGGAACTGAGCAAATGGATCTGAAAACACTGGTCAGCACATTACAGGCTTTCATTGAAGGCTCTAGTCTGGGAGAGTTCCATGCACGGCTCCAAGTACTGTTGGTTTTCCACTGCCATGTCTTGCTGATGCCTCAAGTAGCAGAAAAGGGTAAGTTGTTAGCATTAGCTCTGCTGAGTTATCTGTACAGCAATCTTGCAATCATGTGTTCCAGACTTTCCAAACAGGTCACTGAGCTCATAAAAACAAGCCAGTAGAGCTGTTTTACTGTTTTCCTGTTGGCCAATATACCCCATCTTTTGATGTTGCTAAGATTCCAAAAAGAACCGGGGTGTATTTATTGTAATGATACTGAAAAATTCCCTCTTGTAAAAGAAGGATCATCATGATGATGATTATTATTGTTATTATCTGTCCCTTACCCCTTCTAGATGTTCTGTGCAGCATCCTGTGGAATCTATACAATTACTACAAGCAGTTTTCAGAGTGTGTTGAGGCCAAAATCACTGAACTTCGTCAGCCCATAGAAAAGGAACTTAAGGTAAAAGGAAACTTGGCTCAGACAACGTATTAGTCTAATCAAAGGAACAGTGGAGCAGATATTATTTGAATTCGTCTATAATAGTTCTGTTGGCCACTGAAATTCCTACTAGACTTAACGTTTTCTTTGGCAAGAATTAATTCTTGAGGTGGGGGAGGGGTCGATTGAAAGCTTTCATGTTTGATCAGTGCCATTTGTCCATGAAGGTTTCTACCCAGAGGTGAAGTTCCTGTTCATTTCACAATATCTGGATATGCAGCAGTTTTTTAGGCAGTGCGAATACAGGTTAATAACATGCCTGGGCAATAATTTGGTCACTTACTAAAATGTTCTGCATTTTAAGGCTACCAGTTCATCGTAGCTGATTAGGTTTAAAGATCATCTTTGATGTGGAAATACTTAATTTCATTTACATAAGTAATTCCATGGATTATTTATTTTCCTAATAGGAATTTGTGAAGATTTCCAGGTGGAATGATGTCAGCTTCTGGGCTATAAAGCAATCAGTTGAAAAAATACGCAGGTAAGTCAGAATTTAAAATAAAGCTCCCTCTTTTGATACCTTCTAGATTGATTTCTCTATGATGTTACATTTGAATGCAGAATTTTTTCTTCTGCTCATAACACAGTGAAAACATTTATTTCCAGCAGCTGAGAGATTTCCAGGATTACAAAACCCAGTAACTTCTTTGCTTTCATTTGGTAATTAGAACTCTCTTTAAATTCATGAAGAAGTTTGAAGTTGTTCTGGATGAGCCATGTCAGCCTGCCTTGGTGGAAATTGGTAAGGAAGAGCAGCTGGACTGCATGCAAAAGCAAGAAGAATCTGATGATAAAGAAACCAAAATTCAGAGGCTAAACAACACATTGAGAAAGGTTCTGTCTGCTAGAACAGATGTTGCCAAGGTGACTGAAATAGTTATTCTAAGTGTGGGAAGAACAGTTTCTCTATGCTTGTTCGTACATTGCTTTTCACTGATTTATGCAGGAAAATCTTATGTAAGTGTCAGATCTGTTGAATAGATCATAAACTTTTTTGGTCTTACTTGTGTTCAGTGTTATGCAACACTGCAGATTGGTGGGAATGCAGCATGAAATGGCAAGCATGGTCTGTACTGATCTCACACTATATCTGTGCTCTGATACCCAGAGATGAGGCTGTTACACATTTCATCTCCCATTAGCTTACATATTGTGTGCAACAATTTGTTACTTCCCTACTAGTGAAGCAAAATAGCCTGAGAATTGAAATTATTATTACCCATTTCTTTCCTAAACAAGGACCCAAACAAATAATGATGTAACTGTAGGATTTGTGTGTATATGATATTTCATTAAATACTAAATCACTTTTGGCTTGGATACTGAAGAGGGAATGCACTATATTGTCATATATTTGCTGTTGACTGTCAGTTTGTGGACTGTTGAACATCGGCCTTGGACAAGCTGATGCATGGTAAATCCTGCTCTACTGAGTCTGTTTAGTATGTCTCTAAATAATTTGCCCAGCTCAGAGAGGAAGTCAGCTAATTTTCTTCCTGAAAGAGATTCCTATTCTTATTATTAGTTTTTATTAACAAAATGCAAGGAGACAATCGTAACCCATCAGAATTTGGTGAGGAGTGGGAAATGCTGAGTTACCCTCAGCTTTGTTCAGTTTCTTCAGACCAGGAGCAGGTCTGATTTGCTGATGTCCTGTACCGGAGGGTAGAGCAAGGAGGGAGAAATTAAATGCAAATCTAATGTGTCTGAGGGTTTTGTTTGTAAGATTTGTAAGACTGTTACTGATGGTTAAAAGGGTTATTGGTTTCACTTCTTGAAGTTCTGTGTTATATTCATTCCTTAAAGAAGATGCATGCAAACAATTGAAATTTAACAAAAAAAATTGCATATCTTTGAATATGCTGGGGAATTCTGTTATTTATTAATTTCTACTTGCACACTGTTTTTGTTGTTCTTTAAAAACAAAATTCATGTCTTGTGGAAAATAAGTGAGAGTGTTCTTACCTGACACCCTGGGGATATTAGTGATTTAGGTTAATGCCTTTAAACTGGGAAGGCAGAGGAAGCTGACCTGAAGCAGTGATTACCTTTTTCATAGAGGTAGTGACAAACACCTAAGACAGTAAGATCATAGCACCTTTCATTTACTTGACTATTTTCAAAACTAATGTCTGACTGACATACATGTGTTATGACTTTTCTCAAGTGTTGGTGCTGAACTGATGAAAGAATCGCATGAATATGTTTTGGGGTTTCACATGAATGCAGCATTTAGTCCTCTTTTAAAAGTGATATACTCCTAGGGATCAAGTGAGAGCTTTGAGTATTTGTGTATCATTTTCTTCCATTTTTTTTTCAGAGGGCACTCCCAGAATGTCAGGGTGTCATTACATTTCATACAGAATCTCTTCAGTACCGTCTGTCTAAGCTGACAAAGAAAATGAAGAAAATGTGTACAGCAGTTACAGAAAATAATTCATACTTAAACCTGGTGGAAAATCTCGACCAGTTCACAGGTTAGGTTTTTTTGTGATTTCCGTACCACAGTTGACCTCTATAACAAAAATGGAACAAATCTTGAAAAAGTGCGGATATATAGTTGTCTTCCTAGAGCTGCTTTGCATGCAGTAAAATTACAATCTCATACCTTTGTCTGCTGTCTTCTATACAGGTGGTATTATTGTTTCTGTAGCTGAACTGCAAAGTTTAACATTTGATCAGACAGCAACTAAGGAGAAGCAGAAATCAGAGGCAAAGCATATTCAGATGCAAAAGCAACGGGCTTTGTCAGATCTCTTTAAAAGCCTTGCTAAAACAGGTGAGCTTCCACTAAAAATGGGCTTGATTTAAAAGTACAAAGTTCTTGAGCATTTTGCTATCTTTGCCATATATCTAAACCCACCATAATATGATGTAAAGTAACACCTTTACCCTCCTCATTCATCAGCCTTTTCATGTCTTAAAAATGATCCCTAACTCGGCTTTCTTAAAAGACACGGGGCAGTGAAAAGTCCTTAATGTACACAGGTCTACATTAGTCTTACTTCAGCTGTGTTGTTTAGCTCAAGATAGCTCATCTACAATGTGTTCTTACATTACAAAACTTGTAGCATGTTCAAAGGCTTTTTGAAATCAGAACATTTGATGTTTTACTACCAACTGTGTGAGTGACATTTTTCATACAAAAAATGAGGGCATCAAAGGATGTGTGCTGAAATACTGTTCCAGGTTTGTCGTACCGGAAAGGTCTGTCTTGGTCCCGCTCAAAAGACTGCCAGGAAGTTCTCTACCTCCGTCCACTGGACTTGTGTAGTGCATTGGCAGCAGTGGACTGTACACATGAACTGGATGCCACGTATGTACACAGGACTTCTTACCCTCTGATTGTGTGAATTGCAGCTGTAATACCTAGAGTTTATGGTATTTCTGGACAGTATTTAATTTAGGATTTTGCATATTCCCTTCCTCCCATTACATCTCGGTTTGGTATGTACAACTGAGCAAGGATTTGGGTTTTTTTAAATTTTGGGTTTTTTTCTATTTTTGCCCTTTACCAACTGTACCCTCAGTTTCATTCTTTCCATGAATTAGATTTCAGATAGCCCTCCACTGTCCAGCTTTGCCTGGGATGCTTTGCTAGCAGTATAGTAGAGCGTAAACTGCTAATGATTTTATTGAAGGTGAGCTGTGATTTTCAGGGATTTCTTCATTAAATAATGGGATATTTCAGGAGAAAATACATAAACTTCAAAATGTGCATTACTGGAAAAGCTTTCCTAGGGGAAAGATGTTTTTTCAGATTTTTTTAAAATTGTTTGTCTGTCCATGAGTGTTTTTTTGTCATTGAGACATGCTGGTTTATTGTTCTGTGATGTAAGCATTTAGTTTATGTATTAGGGTGAAAAGAAAGGCTTCTGTATGAAACTGGATTTAGCTACATGGGGATGAAGAAAAACAGTATCACTACTAAAGCATTGAATGGTATTCAAAAATAGAGATTGCTGCTATTGCCTTAGGGTTTCCTTAGAACTTATTTTTTAAATTAAATGGTTTTAATTCTTAAAACTATAATATTTTTAGAGAAAATGAAGAATTGCAAGATCAATGCATTTTCAAAACAACAAATTTCAGGCAAAATGATTGTGTTGAAGAGCTGACCTGGTGGCTCCAGCATGCTGAGGTGCTTTTTATTACCATACTTCTCTGTGCTCTGCCAGGTTGCTGTCAGAGATTTCTTCTGCCTGGGATGGATGCCAGAAGTATTTCTATCGGTCACTTGCACGTCACTCTCGGCTCCAGACAGCCTTGTTAGCACCTGCCAAGGTAAAACCAGCAAAGTAAAACCAGACGATTAGTTCTGTTAACTTCATTTTACCACCTTGGACTGAAATTTCCAGTAGTAAAAAAGTAATGGGAGATAATGCAGTATTGTGTAATATGATGCTAAATATGACACTTCCATCTCTTTCCCTTTTTGTCAGGACAAAATAAGTTTAGGGAAAGAAGTTAATGATCTGTTCAGTGTACAGTATCTTTCATCCCAGCAGATCCCTAATTGCCTAATTTTTGTGCACTCATGATACTCATGAAATGCTGAATCCAAACTTGTAAGGAAAATAATCCCAATGTTACTCAGTATTCTTGGAGAAATCAGTTGATATTTACAATTGGGCATAGTGGGAGTCTGTGTCCAGCCCAAAAAGTGCTAATAGATTTCTTCATTTAAAGATTGGTCTAAAACCAGTAGAATAGACAAATGAGCTCTGCCAAACCAGAACCACTTTTCCAGAATTTCAGAAAAATAGCACCTTTTCCAGACGTTCTTCCTGTCACTATGCTTTACCTCTTGTTTTACAACATGATCTTATCAAAATCACACCTGATACTGGATACAAATAGTGGAATGTGACTGTGATCTGTTATGCTCTGTGTTGTGACCATTTATTCCAAGCTTTAAGATGTGACCACTTCTAATGAAAAGAGTGAAAGTAATTGTCAGTATATCTGGTAAAATGAATAGTTGTAGCATTGGTCATGAATGTAGGCTGGTAACTCTTCAGACTTTAATCATTATTTACATAAGGTAGATTTAATACTGGAACTGAATTCCCGATAAGAATTGCTGCAGTGGAGTAAAATATAATGTGAGTGACTGTTGCAGAAGTTACTTGAAAGGCAAATTTGTATGTAGGATATATGGAAGATGCAGAAACTCTAATAGTTGTAACTCTGGTCTGCATATTAAGACTTGTTCAATTAAGCCATAATCTTTCAGCCTGCTCAGTGAAATGGAGGCACAGAGACTGCTGTTGTCTCATTGATCTAACTGTTCCTTCCCCTTTATCTTTGTTTTGTTTAGGATATTGGACTAGGCAGCATTGAACGCTGCAAAGGGTTCACTGCTCACCTCATGCAGATGCTTGTGAGACAGAGGCGATCTCTTACTGCATTGACAGAACAGTGGATCTTACTCAGGTATTTTCTATCTTCCAACACTGAAATGTTGAAAACAAGTTTTGACAGTGAGCAAATCAGTTCAAGAAAGACAGAAAATAAGGCAGAAGAAAATAACAACTTTTTACTCTGCTTCTGTATATTTCTCCTCCCCTCAATTAAGCCTAGATAGAAAAGATTTAAATTTATCCTATCACTGCAGCCAGTATTTTAAAACCAAAATAATTTTGTAGAACAAGTGAGGATATATGTGAACTAATTTCTGTAGATAATTACACAGTTAAAACATTAAACTTACAGATTATTATAGCTCTCTCATTTGGTATTGGCCTATGTTAATGTTGTTTACATTCAAGTTGTTGGCTTGACCTGGGGCAAATAAAAGATCTGGATGATATTTTGAGCCTAAATAAATAAAGCACCGACAGCTTACAAAGAAAAATTCTAGAAAGGTGGGACAGTACTGGATGTTGTGTCAAAACTGCAAAAGGAAACAAAACTCTATGTGATCTTTCATTTCATTGTTTGGGTCATCAGAGTCATTGCAAATGCCACCTTTGTTGAGCATGTTTGTACTTAGCACTCTAGTCCAAAAAACTTCTAGAAGTCAGGTTAGGAGCTAGTACCTTTATACACAGAAGGAATTCTGGACTGGAGATTACTGGTACAAAATTTATTCTAAGCCCAGGAAACTTGAAAAAAAAAGAATAAATGGAAAATCCCAACTAAACAAACTCCTCAGCTTTACAGTCACAGAAATAGTAAAACTTTCAGAACGTTTATCTGCATTACTATGACTTTCATAGCAAATCAGATTTCCAGGGCTTTGTAGTATTTCATAATTCAGGGAGGGGAAAAAAAATCACTAATTAACCAACCTTTTTTAAAAAAAAATATTGTTTTAGTTTTCCCAGGAGAAGTTATTATCTAGATTAAAAAAAAATAAGTTAGTTAAAGGTAGAGCTTTTAAAAAGGAAGTACAACATAAAACTCGGTGATTATAATTTCACTTTCTTCCTTCTAAACTAGGAACCTCCTGAGTTGTATACAAGAGATAGATTCTAGGTTGTCTGCTGACAGAGAATACAATGCAGCATTTCCTCCTCAAGACAGTATTCAACGCTGGACGGACAAACTGCAGCAACTTTGCATGCAGTGTGTGATGGTTCTCGAGGAGTTGTCTTGGTTTATCCAGTGCTGCCCAAAAGAAGAATCAGCCAGGTGCAATGACAGTGAAAGGGCTGATGTCAAACCCAACGTTCCTCAGTGTTCAGTCCCTGAAATGGGAAATGTTCTTGCCGGGATACCTGACCTGATTCCCTCAGATCTAAAACACTTGTCTCCAGTAACAGCTGAACAATTGCCTCCTGGATGCAGGATGCGAAATAAGGATCAGTTGTGGCTGCAGCTAGCTACACAATTGACTGCAATGTTAGCAAATGTGAAGACCGTGAAAGCAGAGGTGGACAGAGTAAGACAACAGCCATGTGAGACCTCCTTTTATGCCTGGTGAGTTCTACACATGAACATCTCTTAATTAGATTCACATAATATGCATGAAGTAATTTTGAAACTTTTCACCTATGCATATATTGAAAAATGGATTCAAATGCTCTTCAAACATTTTTCTGTTCATTTTTGTTGCGAAATACAGTGCCTGATTCTTTAAAGAAATTTGTCTTCTCCCACTCTCTTGACAAGTGAAAAAAATTCCTGTCTCAGCTTCCCACTTTGTCTTTGGTCTCTCAGGATTTTATCCCCATAGCTCCTTAGCTAATGAGGTGAATTTAAAATATAAATGAAGGAAGAAATTTTCGTTTTAAAATACATTTGTAGCTTATTTAATAACAATCTTCTAATTTTCTCCCTGCTTCAAACAGTGTGAATATGAGCTTTTTGTCAAATCTTTTATTTAATTTCAGGATGGAGGTATGCTGCTTCTCCCTTATCCATGACCGAAAAAAGGTTTAATCTTAAGTTGGACTGTTTGTTCTTCTTTCAGTATTATGGTATTTCTGTTGCAGGAGAGACTTTGAAGTTTGCACATCAGCTGTGAGTTGTTTGCTGGAAGTCTCAGCCCAGTTACAAAGCATAGAGTCCCTGTTTCTTCCAAATGGGCAAGACATGGAAGCTGCAAATCAGATGACCCTAATCAAGAGCCTAAAGTATATACAAGAAGAAGTTAATAACACATCTTCACACTTCACAGCCTGGAGAACACAGCTTCTTGCTTCTGTGTCAGATTGCATTGGTAAGGACCATTTTTCTCCACCTGATTTGTAATGTTGATAGAGACGCAAGAATTTATTTGTTTGGTTATTGCTGAAGGTGGCCCTGTGTTCCTTCTGATATCCAAAAATTCATGAAATTAAAACTTGCAGAATTTAGTCCAGACTTTATTTGTGCAGTATAATCTTTTTGCCATCTCTATTAGTGATGGATCCTGCACCGTAGTTGTAGGTCAGGAATAGCAAGGAGATTTTGGTAGAACTGTGTAGTAAAAGTTGCTTAGTGCTGTCATTGTCCTTGCATAAAGGAAACATAGAAACCTGTAATCTGATATTTACAAGCATGTAAAACTGCCTATGTTATGGTTCAAAAGGAAATCAACAGTCAGATGAAGAGTTTGTGGAGCAGTTCTCAACAAAAGTGGAAACTGTTATCCGTGCTGTTCTGTATGCTGTTCAGTGTTTGGTAGAGAGAAAACAGGAAGGTGGAAAAGAGGAAGAGAAATCTTCAGAGGAAAATGGTAAGTTTGTCAATATACATGAGTGGGGAGCAGAAGATTTTAAACCATGCAAACCTTAATTTCTTGAATAGTGTGTGTCAGAGTCACTAATACACAAGGAAATTGCTATTTTAATAGAAATTGTGTATTTAAACAGGGCAGCTATTTCTAGATTGCTTGCTGTAACCTTTTTTAGAAATTCCTGACTTGATCTCCATTTTTTTAATGTGTTTCAAACAAAGAGGATGCAGCCTTACTTGATGTGATTAAAGCTGGACATATAACTAAACTTTTGGATGAAGATCTTTCTGCTGATTTGGAGGCTTTACATGTGCAGAAGGCAATTTTAGGGGTTTCAGAACTCCTGGAGATCCTGAAATCCTATAGGGAAGACTGCACTTCATATAAACATAAGGTAAAAATTTTTATTTTCATTAATTTTTGGCTTAGGAGTCTCAAGGGATCTGGAATTGTAACTACTTTGGTGGTTAAACGTGCATTGCTTCTTCTTGCCCAGTGTCTTAGAACTATGGAGAAGTACCTAGAAGTATGTGCCAAACTGTGGACAAATAAAGGTAGTCTTCTGTAGTGCAAAAGCCAGACATTCCTGTAGTGAGAAGACAAAGTTTTTGTGAAAGATCTACAAAAACCTCCAGAAACATTAGAAATTGTACCTAATCTCACCTGCTGATATTTCTGCTTCGAGCAGCTGTTTTCAGTCAGTCATGAGCCTCTCTGAGGTGCATGTCAGTAAGTACAAGTAATGACTGACAGCTGTTTCTTGTTTTAACTGTAGTTCTTCAACCAGGCCTGCTATTTGCTGGTGCGTCTAAAGCCCATGTTGTGTAAATATTCAGACGTCATTCTGTTCTACCTCACCATTTCACTGGCATCTCACAGGAGTACTGGAAAACTGCTTTCTGTTCTAACCAGCATTTTTACAGAGCTTGCTCTGAAGGTAAGTTATTAGAGGTAACAGTGGATATATGGCAAGCATATAGTTAATGTGTAAAAGTCTTGAGTAGAAAGCAAGCTGAAAATTGTATTTACTACTGAGGAAGATTTTTAGTTTCTTTTCACCTTTGCAGGGATTTTGTCTGCCAAAAGAGTTACTTGAAGATGAAGCAGGAGAGGGAGCAACAGAGTTCCATGACTATGAGGATGGTGGTATTGGAGAAGGAGAAGGCAAGAAGGATGTGAGCGACAAAATAGAAAGCGAAGATCAGGTAAATGTTTGGGGTTGATCTTGTTTAATTGAAGTGAAGCTGAAAAGCTCTTGAAATCCATGATGTGGATGTCTTAGGTAAAAAGAAACATGAAATTATCTTCAGTCTTCTATTTCTTTTGGCTTTTATCTTTGCATATCAGCTTATAAATATTGTTGTGATACTTTTAATATCATAGTGTCTTTGTGAAGCTTTTAATATATAGGCAAGATCCATTGTAATTTTTGGCTTTACCAATGATTTAGATAGAAGACAGTTTTCAAAAAGGAAAAGAGAAGGAGAAAGAGGATCAAGATTCTAAACCAGACATTGAAGGAGAAGACAATGCAATTGAAATGTCTGAAGACTTTGAAGGAAAGATGCATGATGGAGAACTGGAGAAAAAAGGTTTGGTTCTTCCACTCTGGCAAACTTATAAAAAAAGTTATAGATCAGTGCAGTAATGGTTGATGCTTTCCTATAACATGTGCATGTGTGTCCTTTTCAGCATATATCAGTTAACTGATTGGGGTGATAAAATTAAGATTCAAAGTATGATTGCTTATTTGCTTCAAAAGTTAACAAAAACATTAGCTTTCTCTCTTCTGTACTGAAACACATTCTGAACTGTACACAGAAGATGAGGAAAATTCAGATGAAGAGGAGGAACTGGATAAGCAGATGGGAAATCTTGATAATGCTGAAGCTGACGATAAACTAGATGAAAGGCTCTGGGGGGATGATGAAAATGATGATGATGAAGATGCTAGTAGTAAAACAGAAGAAACTGGACCAGGAATGGATGAGGTAATAAGGAACAGAGTGGGAGAAAAAAGTATCAAAGAAATTGAACTTTGCTAACTTAATGTGACCTAGAATGGGAATTGCCTCTCATAGCTCTTTGCCTTAAAATTTCATGGAGTTTCAGAGTTAACATTCTGTTGAGTGTTGTTTGGGGTTTTTTTGGGGGGTTTTTTTGGGTTTTTTTGGTTTTTTTGTTTGTTTGTTTTTTTGTAGAAGATGGTGTCACTGAGACTTTGAAAAGTGGATAAAATAATTGAGTTTCTTTTTGGATTTATTAATAGGAGGATTCAGAGCTTGTTGCAAA